TCTCCAGGGTAGCTAGAATCCTGGTTGGGAGGTCCCACCCAGTGAGGAGGAATGGGATTGGGGACCTGCTTTTAAGAAGTAGACTGGCCACATTTTCATAGGGCAGCTGTGCTGTGCTGGGGATCTGCTCTAGCCCCCAGTTGTCTCAGATGCTCCAAATCCTGAAGGCAAGAATGGCTAAGGTAGCCAAACAGAAAAGATGGCAGCCTCTTCCTCCTTCTGGGAGCTCCATTCCAGGGAGGTTTAAAACGGCTGATGGCCACAAAACACCAGCAGGGATGACTGGAGACAATCAGGGATTCTTCCCAGTGAAGAGAAACAGGATTTGAGACCCATGTGAATAAGCAGTCTGACTGCTTCTCTATTTAGCCGCTTGGCTGTGCCAGAGGACCACTCCAGTCCCTATTTGACTCAGACTCCCTAGAACCCTAAGGTACTAGCTAAGGCTGTGAAGCAGCAAAGATGGTTGCCCACTCCTTACCCTGGGAGATCTGTCTCAGGGAGGTGTAACACCGGTGCAGGTCTGTCTGGCTCAGACGAATGCACATAGTGGACTGAAAGATTCCTGGTGATGGCCCTGCAGAGTTACAGCGCGTAGTCCCACCTAACAGTGATGGTAGGTCCTGCATACCATTGTGTCTGGCTTATCATCAGCAATCATTTTGGCCCAGCCATGATAGTGCCCTTTGTGAGCTCAGGGTGGTGGCTGACTGGGGTTCCGAGCCAATGGGTTTTATCCTGTGAGGTGCCATGAAAACAGGACCTGCAGACAATCTTTGCTCAGTCCCCTGGATTCAACCCCTTTTCTAAGGGTATATATGTATGGGGGTCTATGCCACAGTTAAGTTGCTTTTGCTGGGAAGCATGGGTATCTGAGGTTTCTGGGGCTCTGCATGTGCCTGAGTGGCTGCTCTGCCAAGATTCCACATAGCTGTGAATGTCAGACTGTAGGCCCTGGCAGAGTGGGTTCATTAGGGAATCTCCTGAACTAGAAGTTGCAAAGATTCATGGAAGAAGTGTGGGTTCCCAGGATTTCTCACTCACTTACTGCTTCCCTGTGCAGGGGAGGCTCTCCTGGCTGTGTCACTCCCAGGTGGGCAATTGGCCTGCCTTAAGTTTCTCTGTTCTTCGTGAGTAGAGTTGTTTCCTTGATTGGTCCTAATGCATGTACCTGGATGTTTCAGTTAAAGGTGCTGTATTTACTCACTTTTTCTGTTCCGTTCCATGACAGCAGCACACCTTCATTTTTTAAATTACATTTTTTGCCCTCAGACTGTATTTTCTTTTTTTTTTTTAAATTTATTTATTATTATCACACGTATGTTTATTGCAGCACTATTCACAATAGCAAAGACTTGGAAGCAACCCAAATGTCCATCAGTGACAGATTGGATTAAGAAAATGTGGCACATATACACCATGGAATACTATGCAGCCATAAAAAAGGATGAGTTTGTGTCCTTTGTGGGGACATGGATGCAGCTGGAAACCATCATTCTTAGCAAACTATCACAAGAACAGAAAACCAAACACCGCATGTTCTCACTCATAGGTGGGAACTGAACAATGAGATCACTTGGACTCAGGAAGGGGAACATCACACACCGGGGCCTATCATGGGGAGGGGGGAGGGGGGACGGATTGCATTGGGAGTTATACCTGATGTAAATGACGAGTTGATGGGTGCAGCACAGCAACATGGCACAAGTATACATATGTAACAAACCTGCACGTTATGCACATGTACCAGACTGTATTTTCAAATAGGAGGTTTTAGCTCACTGATTTCTTTCTCTGCATGATCCATTCTGCAGTTAAGAACCTCTAATGAATTTTTCAGGTCAGCAAAAATGCATTCCTTACTTCCACAATTTATTTGATTTTTAAAAAATGATTTCAATCTCTTTGTCAAATTTTTCTCATAAGTTTCTGAATTGCTTTTCTGTGTTATCTTGAAGATCATCGAGTTTCCTTCAGACTGCTATTTTGAATTTTTGGTCAGGGAGCTCACATTAAGGTCAGTCACCAGATCCTTGCTTTGACTGTGGAGGTCACGGTTCCCTGTTTTCTTTTGTTTCCTGTGAATGTACATTTATTTCTTTGCATTGATAGATTAGTTATTTATGCCCTTCTCTGTCTGGCTTGTTTTGGTTTTTATTGCATTTGTTTGCTAGAGATTTGTTTTAGTTTTTCAATTTATTTCTCTGTACACCTGCCCCTCCCCCACCCCGCCACTGTGTTGCTACCTCCTTTTTGGCATTAGATGATGCCTTAAGCCCAGGTTTGCCTAAGCTTTAGTAACAGAGCCCAGCACCGCTCATCCCCAGTGGAGGAGGTTCTAAATGGGATAACCTGATAGTATGGGAAGGCTGGCTGGGGGTTGTGCCCAGCGGGCCTGTGGAATGAACCACTTACAGCATAGTGCTGCTGAATAGCCACTCTGAATGGTTTCCTTTTTGTCTGAGTAACAGAGCAGAGTTCTCAGGGCTGTGGGTGATAATGTCCCACTTCCACCCTTTGTGCCTGGCTGTCCTCAGGGAGATTTCTTTTTATGGGCACTTGTGATGCATCCTGTGGGTTAAGGCAGGGGTGGGTCTCCTGCCAAGAACTCAAGATGGTGGAGAAGCTGGTTGTCCACCTAGATCTCAGGTATTCCAGTGTAGAACACATAAGTCTGGGGAAATTTTTCTGCATCATTGGTGCAGGGCAGATTGTAGTAGATGTGTTGCAGATATAGAAATCCAATTCTCTTACTGTCTACTTGGATTTTTTTTTTTACTTCTTTGTGCCCCTGGAACTGCCTAATCTTCATATTTGAGTTCTCAGATATTGCTGGTGACAGTCTCAACACTGTATGTTTGATTTAGGCTTTCTCAGGGAGGGAGCGTGAATGAAGCCAGGTTGCTTCTATGCTGCCATTTTGTAACTGGAAGTTCATCTTTTTTGATCTGTTGATTTGATAACCAAGAAGGCTGCTAAGTGACTAAGTGGCAAGTAGCTTCTCAGATGATATAGGTTTGATTACCTTAGAGCCACATAGTTCATCTTTTTTCTTTAAATGTGCTGAATGCTACTTCTGTGTTAATTTTCTTTCTGCTTATCTCTGTCTCTGAACCACATGAAACTGCTTTTCCTGGATTTTCCATCTTGCACTATCATTGCTCTCTGTTACAAGATGTTGCAAGAGGTTTTGCTAACAAATTGCTTCTTGTGTTCTATACAGAGATAGTCCTGGGTTCATGAGTGCTACTCACACACCCAGCTTCTCTCTAACGATGCCCACTGATGCTGTATTAACCCACAGAAGATGCTTTTTTATGTGAAGTGTGATGGCAAATTAATAGATGGCAAACTGATTTGCAAAAGTTTCTCCAGGTGACAAGGGAGAAGCTTGTTTTCTTACAAGTTGATCTCCTCACTCCTGCCCCTGTGTGGTCCTCCAACTCTACACCCTGCATGAGAGAAAACCTTCCATGGGCCTCACTCTTGGAATAGATAGAGCAGATACCCCACTGGGAATGCCTGCAGGAGAGTTTCCTCCATGCCTTCGTAGGAACCAGAATCAAGAGATTAAGGTCCAGATTGTGGGAGCAAACCGTCCTTTATGAATGCACACTCAGTGCACCAAAACCTCACTGACAATTCTAAGGGTAGCCAGTGTTCTCCTAAGCTCTGATTTACAGACAACTGAAGGCCCTTGGGAGAAAAGTAGACTATCACAGATGACAATAATGTTGAAACACAGAGGCCTATGGGACAACTTTGTGTCAGAATTTTAAAGGCAACGTGGGACTGTTCCTCATAAGTTCTCACTTAAACATATTGTCCTGCCTCATACTGACCATGTCTATCTCTTCCCTATTTGCAAGTTAGAGAGAAAGAGGATCTCCTGTCACCATGGTCTTGACTGTTTTCATATCATACTTCCCAAAAGAAAGGACTGAAATGGACAGTTTGTTTCTGGTTTTGAAGAGTGAGGCTATTGAGCTGTGCTGAAGTAAAAAAGGGGAAGGCAGCTCCTGCCTTTGGTCTGGTGGACCATCCCTGCTTACCTGCCTGTACCCCTTGCACCAACCTCTATCTATCTGCTTTTTCCAGATCTGTCTGGTCCTGGTTTGCACACCTGTTCATGGGACTCTCCAGAACTGCCTTTCCAGGATGGCTCTGCTTTGTGTACAAAAGGAATAGTACTGCCCACCAGGAGGAGGATAGGCCAGAAACCTAGAAAGATTTCTAGAAAGAGGCTATAACTGGAGCAGGAGAGGGGATCAAGGGATGGAGGGAAGGTGTCTTTTTTCAACTACAGAAGTAACATCCAGGTTGTCAACCACGTTTCTATGGCAGTGTGCACATGTGTGTGCACACACATATACAGCTGTAGATTAGCTCTAGCTGCTGTGGAAGTAGACCATACTGTGTGTCTGGTATTTTTCAAACAAGTATCACAGTGATGGACAAGGTTCTGTCTACTTTCCTGCCCTTCATTTCTCCTCTTTCTTCCTTCACCTCTATCTCCTCCTCCTTTCTCCTTATCCTTTATTTCTTCTTCTTCGTCATCTTTGTGTCTTTGTCTTAATCTTTTTTTTCCTCTCTCTCTCTTTTACCTTCTTCCTCTCTTTTTCTTCCTCCTCTCTCTTTTACTCTTTTCATTCTCTGTTAACATCCCCAACCCTCTTGGAGTTATCCACATAGGGCCTTCTTCCAGCTATCCCCACCCCTCCAGATATCTATATTCAGCTAATCCTTGCAGAGTCCTTCCTGCATTATGTCTCTTATTTTCTGTGGTCATCATTTTTCTGGCTGACTCTAAGTCTCCTCAGTCTGAACCAGTTTCCATGATTTTCCCAACCTCAAATGTTCCCAATATTTTTATTAAAGTAATCATTGTAAACCTTCTGGTCCTTTGCACACATTAGTCAAGTTCTTTACAAGGCACCTCTGGTAACTTACTACGTTTTGCTTTTAACTGTTTCTTTTTCTTTCTTTTTTTCTTTTTTTTTTTTTTTGCTCGTTTTAGAATGTTCTTTATTCTGACAGTTGTTGGACAAATATAAGGCATGTTCACAAGTATCTGAAGTTGTATATAAAACATACTCATTCAACAGATGTTCCTCTTCTCCTTTTGTACTTGCTGCTGCAAACTGATCTTTATGCATGTTAACACCCATAGCACTTAGTTCTTGTGGATATGCAGACAATGTTTTGGGGACCACCATGGAGAATCTGTTTCAAACTAAGGCGTGAGCTTCTATGAACTAAGTCACTAAGACATCAGAACTCACGGTGAACAAAGGCAGAGGAAGGTGACCAAATCAGCTCATAAACTCATGACTCTAAGTTTCCAGTGGAACAAACAACACATCAAAAAGCATTTTTTTTGATCCTTCATGTTTGAGAGAAATGGAATGTGTCCAGAATTCATGGTTCTATATTTACCACTGTCTAAAAGTCACAAAACAATATCTAATTTTTTCATGGTTTCAAATGCAGTTACAGTTTTGTTCTTAGGCCACAATACAAGATTGCATGCATTACTTTACACAAATGTCAAACACAGAACGATTGTTACACAGACACCTTAGGGCTGTCTAAAGACACAGCTTCTCTTTTTGTGGGGCGGGGGTAGGGAAGGATAATGATGGTGGCTGTTTCCACACACAGCCTGTTGTGTGCTCAGCACGGCTGGATGTGGATCCCAAGCACTTGCTGACTGACTCACAAAAGAGGACAGAAGCTGCTGAGGAGGGCAGCGGAGTTTGAAGAGCAGGCTCCAACTGGGGGCTGGGATGATGGACACACAGCCTCGATTCCAGGGGGAAAAGTCTTAGTCCATACTAATTAAAAACTATTAGTGATTTTTGAAAATCAGATTACATCTATAAAAGACGAAAAGTAAACACTTAAAACAATCCATTGGGGGGAACACAAAATAATAAAAAATCAAATGCAGATGGGATTTCACAAAGAGGAGATTTGAATCTTTTGGTCTAAATCAGCCAATATTTTAACATTATAAATCATTAAAATGTAGTTTGCTTATGCCCATTCTTAAAATGCAGAATCTTTGAGGAAAAATATAGACATATTTTCAGGAATACAGACTCTTGTGAAAAATTTTAAAAGTCAGTATCATCTCTCTTGTGGAGCTACTAGAACAGGTTTTTCAAACACAAAAGGGGAACAAACGTGGGGCGCTGGAATATGTTAAGAATTCTTATCACTAGAATACTGCTTCAAGGCACTCACAGTACTTTCCAAAAGAAGCCACCCACCTCAAAGAGCCCTGCACAGCCCCAGCGACCCACGAGTGTGGTAGCTGGCATTTTATTAGCCACTGCTTGGGCATCATCAAAGTATTCACTCGAAATGGGGAAATTACTTAATATCAATGATATTAACGATTTCCATGAATTTAGCTTTGTGACACACAATGAAAAAGGGTCTTCAAATGTTTGCTTTTTACACCAGTGATAGGAAATTGTCATTCTTCCAATTCAGCATGCCGGTGGATGACCCTTTAGTGAAGTGTGACTACCTAGGGGAGCAGGAAGGCAGCTCCCATTTCTCACTGGGCCAGCCTCTTCCAGAAGGTGCAGGCTACTCTTCTGACAGGAGATCATGACTCTGGCAGGCTGGGCAAGCGCTCTGCCCTTTAAGCCACTGCTTAAAGCACCCTTTGTGATACTTGTGCCCACATTTGAGCACACACACGTTTTTTGATTTGAACATCTTGTGGCATATTTCACAGGAACTTGCACCCGGTGCAGCCCTCACAGGGACATCTTCTGCTTTCTGCCCCTTGGTTTTGGGTGATGGTGCAATAACAGCCGAGGGTGGGTCCTGGGAGGACCTGGTCACGGGGGCAGCAGAACTGGGCTCATAAGTCCTCTTGTCCTTTCCTGGGTTTGGCTTTTTCTTTTTCTGTTCATCTAGAATGTGTTCTGTCACTCTTTGGACAATTTCATCAATACTCAATCCTGAAAGTGAGCTCTTGTTTTTGCTTCGCACGTTTTTAATAAAACCAGCAAGCTCAGTGCTATCGTAACATGGGAATACCACTGACAGGTGCTCAATAATACTATTGAACGGCTTTTTTGGAGACTGGCTTGAACGTGCAGCATGTCCTGGAGGAACAGGCTGCTTCCGATCAGCCACAGGGCTTTGCTCTGACAGAGCTGCCTGGCCATCCCTTTTTGGCCCTGGCAGCTGAGTGGCTTCAGGCTGACTTGGGGGTGGTCCTGGCAACAGCGCAGAAGGAGCCTCCCCTGGGGAATCGCTGGCAGAGAACACACTGGAATCCCTGTGAAATGCTGCGAGGTTTCCAGTCACATAGCTTGCAGAAGTCATAAGCCCTTGGTCATCGTGGCCTGAAGACTCAGAGAGTAACTCAGGATGAACCATGTTACAGGCAGGAAATGAAAGCTTGGGAATCTGCACTTTAGAAAGTTCACTGAGCCGAGAACCATTTTTAATTGCCTTAATTTGTTCTTCAAACTGAGACTTTGCTTTCTCAATTTCTTTTGTAACATGAGAAAGAAACAATTCCCATGAACATATATCAGACTGCATGTGAGGATATGCTGCAGGATCATGGCTAATCAGCTCCAGCTGCTTCAGATAGGATTCTGCTTGTGACTCCATGATCTGTAGCTTATACACTTCACTCTCCTTCCAGTTTTCAAGTACGGATACCTCTGCAGCCACAGCTCTCTGATGACTCTCTTCATAATCCTCTTTCCCTTTCTTTATGCACTCTTCTATTTTCATTTTCTTGTTTGTAAGTGTGTTTCTGATTTCAAGAGACTGATCCAGATGTAATTCATGTTCCTTATCCTTTCCATCATTTTTCTGGGTATACATTGCACTGGCATTTGAAACCTTTTTAATTTTCTTCTTCAGTGATTTTAGTCTTCCTTGGATTTCTTTTTTTTCCTGTTGCCATTTTTTAATTTCTCTTTCCAGATCTTGAAGGAACCAATCTAATTCCATCTTTGACATCTTGTTTTCTTCTAAGTGCCTTTTCAACTTTTCTTCCAGGTCCCTGGTTTCTTCTAAGCCCTTAAGTTTTATCTGCTCGTAATTTTCACACGCTTCTTTAAGTTGGTCTTGTAATGCTTGGTACTCCTTTTCAATCCGTGAAACTTCCCCTTGTTGTTCATCAAAAGGATTATATGGCTCAGTATTGACTTCTTGGTGTGTTATGTTCCAAGATACCTGTACGGCAACCATCTGCACGTGTGGAATGTTTGTTACTGCACTGGTGCTTTCTGGAATTACTTCACATTTGTTGTTAGAATTTCCACAATGCCCATCATTTCTGTCAGACTCACTTAGGACCATAGAAGCATCACCTGTGCTGCACTGTGACTTTACAGATGTTACCAAAGAGTCCTCAAGGATCTGTGTTTCGGAGGCAATCTGGTGACCAGCAGCATTCTCAGCATTCAAATGATGACCCTCAAAATAGGCAGTAGCATTTTTATCTGCTCTGTCATTGGCTACAAAAGACGGCACCACTGGTACTGATGTTGGTAGATGATATTCAGGAGAAAGGCTGGCCAAGGGTGTATATGTGCTGGTGTACTGGGGCAAACCTGGTAACACATTTATGTATGCTGGTGGTGTCCGGGTGATATCAAATCTCTGGAAAGGAAGATACGTACAGTATCCTGTGACCAAATGGGATTGAGCCCAATAAGTTGGTTTCACATCCTCAAGAACCAGTTTAGGGGAATTAGAGGAGACTTGTTTGTAATTTGCATCCTCAGAGCCTGGTTTGGGAGAATTAGAAGAAACCCCTTTGGTTTCCCCATCCTCAGAAACTTGCCTAGAAGAATTACCAGATAGTGGTTTAGCCTTCGCATCTTCACAAGCTGGCTTGGGAGAATTAGCAGACGCAGGTTTGGGCTTCACATCTTCAGAAGGTAGTGCTGAAGATGAATCTGACACTGGTTTAGGCTTTACATCTGGTTTAAATTCCCTAGCAGCTGAATTCAGTGGTAGTTTAACTTGTAAATACTCTCCTGCTTTTGAAATGTCTTCTACTTTTGTTTTAATGTTTTTCTTCTTTCTTTTTTTCTTGAGCCGTAATGCAGCTTTCTTCAATGCAATGCAGTTGTCAATCACAACAAAACGAGGACATCCCAAGAGAAAAGATTTTAAACCTCCTGCTTTTTCTAGTATTGGTCGAGTTTCTTCTGGGAAAAACTCATATTCTTCAGAGAACATCTTGCTACTCATGTCCAAGGGACCATGTTCCTCCAACAACTGAGAGAAGTAATCATATAGAGTTGAATATTTTTGTTTTGGGTTAAAGTCCCATAGCTTCTTATTGCGGACAACATATTCATTACTGTGTTGGTCATAGAGAGCTTCAAATTCTTCTACGTCTTGCCGAAGATGGTCAGGCACTGCAAATGGGCCTGCAGTATCTGAATTTTGATTGCTATGGTCTTCACTTGAAGTGATGATCTCATTATTTGGAGTTACTGAAGTTGTTCCAGACCCAACTAACATAGGTTTTGAATCCTTTAGCTTCTTTTTCTTGCCTTTGTTTTTCACCTTGGTAGAACTAAACTGTGCTTCGCCACCGTCTTGTTTCCTTAACACAGTACAGCGGCTGTCCATTATATCAAAGAATTCATCTAAAGCACTATGCAATGCTGGGAACTTGTCTCTGTGTTCTTCTAGCAGCCATATTAAACAACGGGCTTCCTTCAATGATGTTGGCTCATAGAAATAATCAAGTTGCTTTCCTTCTATAGAGTCTAGTTTGTGACCATATTTCTCATTCCAGAGGAAAGTCATGATGCTAAAATCAAGCTGTTTAAGAGATGCTCCATACCGAGAAAAGAAAGGTCCTGTGGCATCTAAGCCAAAGCTATTAAGTTTTTGGATCCAGGCGGCTAATTTGGGCTCCACTTCTTTAAGCTCACTCAAAACATGCAGAAATATTCTTGTCTTTACTCTGCTCTTTTCTTGAATCAAATGATGAATAACATAGTCCACTGCTTCATTTAGAAAATTTCTGCTTGAAAAACAGGTTGTATAGTCTTCTGTGCTCAAAACTTTCCAAGAAAGCAATTCTTTGAGAAGCGTGGCTGTATTCCATATGCCGGATTTAATCTTGTCAGCATACTGCTTTATACACTGTAGAATTCTGTCATCAAGGAACTGACAGCAGTGAACATTGTCTACAGTTTCTTTCTGCTCTTCGTTTTTGGGTGGATTACTTTCTCTTAAGTCCTCCTCCATTCTTTCTTGTGCTAATTTTTTTGCTTCTTTTTTTTGGATCTTTCTCTTCAATTTTTTGTCTTCTTTCAGTCTTAGTTTCTCTAGACTAGAACATTTCTGTTTCAAAATAGGTCTTGGAGGAACCTTTTCTTTTATGACCTTGTGTTCAAATTCACATTTAACTTGACCACCACTGCTGAAGATGATAATCTTAGAAATAACACCTTCACAGTCAGGGGTAAGACATATTCCTTGTAGAAAATCCTTGTCAATTTTATCGTTAAAGGTTGTAGTTTTTAACTTCTTCCAGCAATTCATGTGAAATTCTATTTTACAGTACTGGCAACAGCTGATACGTATAAAACCCTTAAAGTCTGGATCAGTTATATATATCTGGATCTTAGAATATCCACAGCACTTCTGATAGCAACAAATGGCATCTGGCACTGGAGGGAACTTGCATTCTTCAACAAATTTCTCTAACAGCATCTTTATTTTTTCTGGCTGGGACTCTTCAATAATCACATTACTTGTGGGCCAAGTTAACACTCCAGGAAGACGATAAATCAAGGTTCTTGCTTTCTCAAAGTGATTGAGAGCTTCTAGAAATCTGTTTTTTTTCAAATATACTTTTCCAATTCCACAGTAGGCCAAGCAATCAAGTCCCTCATTGTGGTAGTGTTCGATAATCCTCTTAAACTGGTTTTCAGCTTCAGATAGTTCTTCAGGCTGTCCTATTCCAAGGAGAGAAATGGCAAGTCCATAGACAACCAAGACATAGTTAATCATGGCCAGGTTCAATTGCTTTATTTTTTGAGGATCTAAACCATTCAGCAACTCTGTAAAGGCCTGTGCGGCACTGCGGCAACGCTGCTCCAATAAGGCTGTATAGCCATCTTGAATTAAGCTTCTCAGCATTGTCATTATATTAGCAAAATCCTGGTGGGCAGCTCTGGAAGATTTAGAAAACTGTTTCTCCAAGATGTTCTTCAAATTTGCTGGTAAAGTCAATTGTGAACTAGAACTGTACTTCTCTGATTCATTGTTTCCAGATTTTTGTTTTCCTTTATGTTTTGGAGGCTGACTTGATGGTGGTGAAAATTCAGGATGACAGTCACAATCATCTACCTTCAATGCCTCATCCACCACCTTTACATTCTGATTACCACCATTGGCCATTTCGTGATTAAATTTTCTGAAATCTCTTTCCTTCTCCACAAAGTTAAGTGAAGTACTAAATACAGGTGCTGACAAACTCCTAGGTGTGTAGGCCCTGTTTTCATAAAAGGCTTTAATTGGATTCTTATTTGCTGTTCGACCTTGTAGGTCTTCTATTTGTTTTTGTAACTTTACATGTTGCTGAATTAGATCCTTGATTCCCTCAGGGTCATTTTTACAGAGTTTTTGAGCTTTTATGTTTGCTTGCAGAGCCCAGTTATATTCCCCCAGCATAGAAAGAGCATCACAATAACGATAATGACCCTTTGGCCAAGTATTCTTCAGAATAGTGGCTCTCTTTCCATCACCAAGTGCATTTCTAAACTGTCCAGTACGAAGAAAACAAAGAGCTCGGTTACCATAAAGAAGGTGGTTTTCAGGTCTATATTCAATGGCTCTGGTGTAATAGATAATAGCTATATCAAATCTTTCTTTGGAAAACTCTTCATTTCCTTTCATTTTCATTAGTTCTCCTTGCTCTACACAATCCATACAACTTTGGGTTTTAAGTTCTTCAAGCAAATTGCAGTCTTCCACTACAATTTTAGTTATGTGGTACTTGTATTCAGTAAAGAAAATACTTAACATAGGCCAACAATTGTCAATTGATCCTAATTTAGTTAGAATTGTTACATCGCCTGCATATTTTATCCAATTCAGAGCTTCTTCCATTGCCAATACTTTATTTTCTATTTTATAACCAATTCTCAATAAGCCTCCAATAAGGAATGAATCATTAGCAACTTTCTTTGCCAAATCCACAATATCTTCCATCAACTCAAGATGTTGTAATTTCTTCAAATTTATCTCGGAAGCACGTGAATTGCTGGCGTCCACACAGGGATGCAATCGTGATATTACGGAACTGTTTTGATGTTGAAACAGAAGTGGCCAGAAAATGTTTATTTTAATGGCATCACAATACTCTTGCAGGACAGAAATTGGTTTACTACACCATATACTGCAGATGTCAAATTCTAAATTCCTCTCACTTTGGGCATAATCTTTATATTGCATACCCACCCCATCACAGTAAAGCTGAGTCACACGAACATAATCATCGGTCATAAATTCAGCAGCAAAGACACAATTGTCCATATAAGGGCAGTCTTCCAACAAGGCATAATCTGCCACAGTGAAATCTCCCTCAGCAAAATTGTCCATGATGCACAAGTCACACACACACGGAGGGATGTGGAAGGCCCCGCTCCCCCAGCATCTCGGCTGCAGCGGGACAAGGTGACACATCCGGGAGCCCGGCCGCGCGCCGGGTGTGCACTCACCCGGGCCCGCCGCCCGCGAGCCTGGGATGCGGTCGTCCGCCGCCCCTGCCGCCGCTGCCGCCGCCGCCGCCGCTGCTGCTGCTGCTGTTGCGGCCGCCGCTGCAGCCGCCGCCGCCGCGCCGCGCCGCAGCCGCCGTCGCCCCGGCAACCACCTCCGGCCCTCCACGTCAGCCGACGGCGGGAGGGAGCGGTTCCTTTTAACTCTTTCTATGTCAATACTGACCACAGTTACTATTTTCTCCCGCTGCACTTTAAAGTCTTACTGGTGGAAGCCATGTATCCTTTGCCCACAGGCCAGAGGAAGGGGAACCAGGTCCTTTCAGGAAAGTGCATGGGGGATGCCTCTCTCTCATCATGTCCCCTGACTCCCAGGTGTAATCATAATCTCCGCATGGAAGTGCCAGGCACATAGAGAGTGCTCTTCCTGCTGCCTACACTCCTGCTAGAAGAGCCCTGCCAAGGTCATCATAAGGGCTGGGATCCACTAACAGCTTCGACCACTAACGCAGGGTCTGATATTAGGGATGTCATTTCTTCACTCTGATGCACTATTTTTTTTTAAATCTACACACTGATGAGAGGCCGCTCAGAAACCTGCAAATTAGCATCACACTCCCCTAGGTTCTGTAGCAAAATATTCTGGGAGGAAAACCTGTGAATCTTATTTCCACCTGTTGCTCAAGGAAGGGACTCTTTCCAAAGAAAATAACAGTCATATACAGGGGAGTTTTTCTGTGTCCCTTTTTCTCCTTTGTTCCTTTTCCCCTCTCTCTCTTTTAATGGCACCCATTTCTTCCCATCACTTAGAATCACTGAGAATCTTTTTTTACCCTGGCTTATAAATTGTGTAGAATTCCTGTAAAGTATGGTGCTCCTTTGTCTATTTCCATTGTCTCTGACCTAATTCTTGACTGACTGGCCATTTACCTGATCCACTTTAAAAGCCAGGAGAGCTGTGTTCTCATTTCAGAAGAAACTGTGTTACCCTGGCCAGTTTTCTTCCCTTTTCTGGAATTCAGTTCTTCATCTATAAAATGGGGGGAAGGGGGTTGACCATCCTGGGCTCTATCTGGATGCCGATTGGAGTCAGAGAGAGAGCTCTGACATGGTGATGCAGGGCCTTGAACTCCACTCACAGCTCTGCTGCTAACCTAGCATGTGATTTAGTTTTAGTCCCTTTCCACTTCTGAGCCTCAGTTCCCCATCTAAGCAGCCACGACTGACAATGGAGGAGTCTTAGACTGCCACAAATGAGGACCTTGATCCCCTAACATGCTTGTGTGTTCATAAGACCCATATCCTCTGATCTTGAGCAGATAGAGCCTTTTCTTAGCCTCTGGATTGCTTCTTGGAAATGGCTATAGTGAAAGCCTCTTCTTTTGTGCTTGATACTTTATTTTCCCAGGTAAGCTCCCTCTACCTTTGTCCTGGGGCATGTATTTATGGATATTTTAGTTAGCAAAAGCTATCAATTAGTGTAATTAGCTTATTGTCAACTTCAATCTTGACCCTCTCCATGCACTGTCCCCTACCCACCTCAGGTTCTTTCTTATTTTAACTTAGTGAGCAGAGCTCCTGGCTGCATCATCATAGCAACCAGCAGCTAGGACCTTTTAAGCTATGATGGAGTCATTAGACACCTAAGCTGATTATAGAGTCTAGAATGTTAATTGGAGAAGAGAGGCTGAAAGAAGGAAAATGAGGCAGATCTTAACCTGCAAACAAGTGGGCAACAGAGTAGCTGAGTGCTTCAAACTATCCCCGACCTGGATGCCATGGGCGCTGTGGACCTGGGTGTCAACACCTTGGCTTGTGCCCTCAGCCACCAGACCAGAGGGAGGGGCACCAGGCCCATTCTCTTCCCAGGGAAGTAATTCTGGACACCTCCCTACCAACATGCTCCAAGTAGATGGATTTGAATCTGGATTTTTCAATAGGCAGTACCAATTACTGAGTTCATCCTGAGTCCTACTCCTAATTTCCTTATCTTTCAACTCTCCATAGAAGTTTCTTGAATGAAAACAGGCCTTTTAATTTTTTTTCTTGTTTGAAGCTCTCTTTTCCCAGTCAGTTCCCCTGTTGCCTTGGCCTGTATTTGTGGCCTGTTAAATTCAAAAGTCTATCAGTTAGTCTAATTAGGATATTCAAATTTTAATTCTTTTCCATTCTCCACATGGGCAGCCACCTGCCCTTCTTTTATTCTCTCTTTTTATTTCATTTAGGGAGAAAAGCTCTTGGCAGGATTGCCATAGAAACCAGCCACCAGGCAGACTAGGCTATTGTACATCTGGACACTGATACTCAAAGCTGATTATGGGTCTGGAAGCTTGCATGGCTAAGCAAGACTGATGGAGTTAAGACAAAGAGGGTCTCAGCTAGAGAGAAGGGGAAAATGAGCACCTCAGAACGAACTTCACACAAACCTCAGCCCTACCTTTATCTTTGCCCATGTGTGCTTCATGGAAGAAAAAAGTTAGAGTGAGAATGAGGAAGGCTGTCACCTATTAAAGATGAATGTCTGGGTTGACATCAGAACTTGTTCCCTTAGGCTAAACCCTGCCATGGCCACAAGCCCACACCTGTAAGCATGTCATTTTCACTGAGTATCCCTAGTTCCTATTAAATTACCTGGCATATACTTAAGGTTCTCATAGTGCTTGGTGCTCAGCAGTTCTGTAAGACAGTGCACTACTAGTGAGAGCACACTGAGACTACCTTGGAACATGAGCAACTGAAGATTTCCTAACACACTGGATTTTTCTGGGAAATGACACCAATGAAAGCCTCTGCTATGTGCTCTAAGGCTCCTTGTTTGCAATTTACCTCGCCTGCCTTCTGGGGGTGGTGGTGTAAATGCCTGGTGGAGGGGCTTTGGAAGCTGTTAGTCACTGAAGTACCTAAGTGTATTAGGCTATTCTTGCCTTCAAGGATTTTCCCCTGGTCCCATAATGCACCCCTGTCTACATTAGCAGGCTCCCACTCATTTACGCTGGGAGAGCAGTGTTCCTGGACACATTGCCATAGCAACCAGAAGCCAGACAGAGTAGGAGGGTGAGCCAGACATTTGACAGCAAAGGTTAGTGGAGTATCTGTTGGAGAGGGGCTGACTCTTAGGAGCAAAATACCTTAACTCTCAGCTGCAGAGAAATAGACCACTAGGCCCCTCAGTGTTCCAACACCATCCCCTCCCCATCCTCCATCCCTGTGCCTCCAGGTGAGGGGTAGTTAGAATGAATTTTGTTTTATCTGGAGGCCAAGGCCTGTGTTTTACCAGAATATGTATCCTTTGCCCTGAAGCCGGTGAGGGGAACCAGGTACCAGATACTTCCTCCAACCCCACCTTGTTATCAAACTAACACCCATGAGTGAATATATGCCCCAAATGTGTGTTCCCATGACTGCATCTCCTGTGCCTAGAATAGTGTCAAGAATATGGTAGTACAACTTCATGCACTTCCCCTGTCTACTCACTCCATGTTAGGCATTGCAGTTCACACCTTATCCTTTGAAGAATTCCATTTACTACTGGAATGCCTACTGTATTAGTCTGTCCTCATGCTGCTGATAAAGACATACCTGAGACTGGGCAATTTACAACAGAAAGAGGTTTAATGAACTTACAGTTTCATGTGGCTGAGGAGGCCTCACAATCACAGCAGAAGATGAAAAGCACATCTCATGTGGTGGCAGACAAGAGAAGAGAGCTTGTGCAGGAAAACTTCTCTTTTTAAAACCATCAGATCTTGTGAGACTTATTCATTATCATGAAGAACAGCACAGGAAAGACCTGCCCGCATGATTCAGTTACCTCCTAACAGGTCACTCTCACAACATGTGGGAATTCAAGATGAGATTTGGGTAAGGACACAGCCAAACCATATCACCCAGTCTCAACTGATGACACTGAGAACATGAAAGTAAAGGAATGGCCTTAAAAAACTTCTCACCTCCATGCATTGCAACTCGATATTCTGCTTTCCCTTTCATCACTATGCATAAACTCTCTACATTTCTATGAAAACCGATCCCTACCGTTGGCCACTAGATTACACCCCTTCTTGACTATTCAGTGCATGGTCCCAGCAATGCTGTCCGTGCTCTTTGCCACATCATCAATTTACCTTTATCTACTGGATGATTCCCATCAGTACACAAACATTCCGCAAAGTCTCCCCTGCAACAACAACAACAAAACCAACAAGAAAGAAACAAAACACCCCACCTTAACTGTACAACCCACTCCATCTACTGCATCATCTCTGTACACCAAAATTCCTCAAAAATCATTATGTGGTCTTAATTTGTTCACTTATGCTAATCCCATTTTTTTCTTTAACCCACCCTAGTCAAACTTTTATCCCCACCACTCCATGGAAATAGCTCTTCTCAAGGTCCCCAACTAACCTGCGTATTGTTAAACCTAGTGATTATTTCTCAGTTCTGGTCTTACTTGACTGAAAAGTAAAATTTGACACAATTGATCACTTCCTCCTCCTTGTAATACTTTCCTCACTTAATTTACAGGACAGTTCTGTCTCTTGACTGTGCTTCTGCTTCAGTGTCTGCTATTTTTCAGAGTCATGGCTAGTTACTCCTCACTGCTTTGAACTTTTTGCATTGCAGTGCTCTAGAGTTGGCTTCTCAGAAATGTTATCTTCACCTGTGCTCACTTTCTAAGAATCATACACAGTTCTACCTATGTTTTGATTTTACCTGCAAATAAAGGAATCACACATTAATGTTTCAAGGTCAGTCCTCTCTCTGGACTCCAGGCTCATGTTTCATGCATACTCCACATCACCACCTGGATCTCTGAAAGTCATCTTAAATTCAAATTCATGATACAGAACTAAGTCCCTGATTCCCTTTCCCTCAAATCCATTCCTCCCATAATTCTTCCCATCCCAGGAAATGTCAACTCTATCCTTTCCCTTGCTCAGTCCAAAACCTTTGGAAACATCTTTGGATTCCTCTCACTCTCATACCACATTCATGGATAC